TTTGAACCTTTATCTTGTTTTTGTCATTCAAATTTTTGGGGAAGAATAATCATTACTGGTATTCTTTTAAAACAAAAGTCTTTATGTGTTTATATTTCTTAGAAAATTTACACGCGTCCCAAATACTGAAACTGAGCATTTGCACGCTCTTTAAGTAATCAACATTTTTATAGTATTATGATCACAGAATTATGATCTCCGTGGCCGAGTAAGTAGCATGCTGGTTTCAAGAGGTCGATCTATCTGAAGTCCAGGGTTTGTCATCGATAAGATGAACTTTTCTTTATTGTCTCTCTATTTCAAAAGTTCTCTGGTGTGCAATCACTATGGTGCCACGTATTGTTTATTTTTAGTGCGCAATGTCTTCCCACAGCTTTCGTCAAAATGCCATTAAGTTCATGATTATTCCACCAAATAGGTTCAGGAGCCTCACTGATGTGGTTATTTCATCGTGTTCCTACTAAATTAATGAGTTAAATTCTTAAATTATTAATAATTCGAGAGATGAAAATTTCGACTTTGATTTCCCTGCAGTGTATGCAAGATTGATTACATCGTATTGGCAACTAAGTAATACAAAGTACAATACAATAACAAGCACGAATAAAAACAGAAACGGTAAACCCTACACAGAAACTATTAATATGAAACATATCAACAATAAACAAAACTAGAATTAAAAAATCTAGTAAAGGACAAAAGATATACTTATCTACAATATGTTTATTATAATGAAGAAACTTCTATGAAACTCGGGGCGATTGATATTAATAAATCAACAAAAAAGTTTCGTGCTTTCGTTTCGACTGGATCTATAAGGGTTCTGGAAGCAAATTAAAGTAATAAAATATGGTGTGTTTATTTCTTAATACTTTATATAATGAGAAAGTGATATATGAATCTACATTTATTTGTTCGTTTGCTACACGTACGATTGAAGAAAGATAGATTGTGAAACAAAACGTTTCATCTTGATAGAACAATAGAAAGTGTAGGAGGATTTTTTTGTGTTGTGATCTTGTTACCTATAATTATAGACTCATATTGTAACATTTTACATTGAATATAAAATTACAGTGAATGAAACTGAATACAAGGTGTATAGTTTCGACTCAGCAAAGTACATTGTTTTCGTGATGACACATTTTTAGACCAGTGACCTTTTCTTTTTTTAAATATTCTTAAGACAAAAACAATAATAATCTATACCTACTAATATTATAAACAGGAAAACTTATTTGTTTGTAATAAATAGGCTCAAAAACTACTGAACCGATTTTAAAAATTCTTTCACCATTCGAAAGCTACATTATACACGTGTAAAATGGGCTATATTTTGTTTTGAAAAAAAATAGGGTTCCGTAAAATATTTGGGTTTTTCGGACACAAGGTGTAAAAAATCTGTCAGAAAATTTACTTATTTTGCGTACGCTTCCTAAACTAGAAAAGATAGAACCATAAAATATTGTAATTAATTGTACATCTTATAAATATCTACAAAAAACTCCACGACATACTATACCTATCTATGTCGAGTGAGGTACAACAACCATTTTTTATTTAAAAATCTTGATTTTTTTTGGACATTTAAACACGTGTATTACTCATGCTATTAATTCTTATCAAAATAAATTATTTCATACTAAGTAATGCGAACAAGGTTGTAATGCGAACAAGGTTGTCACCTTTAGAGAAACAAAATTCGTGACATCCGGATAGTAATCAGAAATCGGAATTGATGGCAAGTTGGCAACCAGGAATGCGAAACATGTTCGTCTGTGTAACGCCGTTATTCGCTGTTGACTGCAAAACTGTACTGATAACGACGCAGCTATTTCATCGAGCGAGACAAATTACATGTGAAACACGAATGTTACTAACGGAGTGTACTAACGGCGTTAGTGCAGTAGTTTTTTAAAAATATATCAACAAAAAGTCTCTCTTGAGACTATATACATACATTATATTTAATTGGAAGACCATGTGATTTTTGGTAATAAAAAAGCTTTAAGTTATTAAGTAATACTCCATATTAACACAATGAACAAATCTGTTAGAAAACTAGAAACAAAATTTAATTATTTGTGATTAATGGTGATATTAAATTTTATCATTCGGAAAAGCGCTAGCTCTTTGCGTCTTATCATAAGAGCGAGTATAATCGGATTGAGGTCGTAGTTTCCTCCCGCTTCAGCACGGCAAGAGGGCTCTGTAATATCCGGCTCTGATCCCCAATATTGCTTGTATGGATTTAGGACATAAAATTCAATGATTATAACATAACCCAATAGCTACTTATTATGTTACCGTGTTTTGATAGGGAATATTTTTGTAAGCCCCATGTTTTGCATACAAACATAAAGAGGGTGGGTTTTGTAATTTAAAAAAACAAAAATGAACAGCAAAATAAGTGATAGTTATTATTTATCAACTGCAAGATAGGTAAAAAAGATAATTTAAAAATGATTATGCAAGTTTAAATGATTAATTAACTGATTAGACATATGCATTCCAAATTTAAGCTGATTTTACGTACGTAACCACAGTAATAAATTAATTTCCGTAACGTTTATGGAGCTGTTCTTAATGAATCGCGGTTTATATCTGACCTTGAAACAAAATGACGTCTTTCACATTCAATGCATGAAACAAGCGAGGGTAAACTTATCATATGATAAAATTATTTTGTAGGTTCAACTTTTAAACATGAAATACGACGAAGATTTTTTAAAATTTGTATTACTAATCAGTATGTTTTGCAATAAATGGAATTGTTTGTGTGAAATTCGCAACTTAAGCATAATAAAGATTAACCTACTACTGTACCTAGTCATAGTTAAAAATTATAGATTATCGTACTATTATATTATTTTGGTTTCTTTTCAGATAATCATGAGGATCAACCAGGCAATTGATAATGGAAATCTACATGTAATAAATCGTAATGAAAATGCATCTCATAGACACGTAAATAATAGACGCTGGCAACATTCGAATTCTCAATCTGAAAACATTTATCAAAGTGAAAACACCCGATATAATATTAATTCGAATTATAATTTCGAAAGCAGTAATATAAGTGAATACCTAGAAAATGTTTCTGTGACCTCATCAGTAAAAGACGAAGAAGTGATTACAAAATTAAATAAAAAGCAAGTGTGTAATAGGCAGTATCGAATAAATAATCAGAATAATATAAACACTTTAAGGACATACAATACGACCGATTCTTCAAACCTGGATGAAGATATTGTAACACCCGTTACACCAACTGAGCCGTTTATAGGTAGATATTTTAGTGTAAAACTTTAATTTATTGGCTTCTACAAATTGAAACATTAAACTCTATAATTTTTCAGGAGAAGCTAATGTTTATTCGATTTCATCGTTTGATGAAGTGGAAAGGGCAATTGAGCAGTCTGATACAGATGCAATGTCTGAGAACGGTGTTCACACTTTACCAAGAGGCATAGTGAATCCGAACTATCCTGGTTTTCAACACTTAGCACATACTTTACAGGTAAATGTTTATAACACGAAGGAAACACTAGAAGTGCATTTCTTAAATGGGGACAACAAAATAAGGGAAGCCATGTGTATTCTTGATTACGTAACTTCATCCTAAGCTCCAGGCATTGTATCAAATTGTTTTGAATGTAATATTGAGAAAACCAACTTCATTCATTTCAATTTACATTTTTCAGGACTATTCATCAAATATAGAAAATTTCTACCAGTCTGAAAATGACATGACTGACGATGATGTCGACGTAGAGATTACAGAGTTATCATACGAATGTGAAGCTAACCACAATACAACATTAGCATACAAAAATTTTAAAAATAATAACAATAATAACGAGCAAATATTGCAACCAATTGAGTTAGTCACAAACAATAAAACCTTAGATAGTCACGTAAATAATGAAATCCCTGATCTAATAAAAAATGTAACTTCGAACAATAATAACATCAGTGAATCGTCAGATTGCGATTTTAATTGTTCAGATACTGATATTGAAAATAATTTCAATACCAAAGATATAATAGGTGATTTCAATAAAGAAATAGAAGATGAAATTAAGCAATTGTTGAATTACAATATTAACATACAAGATGATTTAGAAGAGTTAAGAAAAGACATAAAGGACACTTTTGCAAAACCAATAGAGAATACTATTAACAACATAAGTGATGTGGTGAATCACGTCATTAAAAAGTTAGTGGAAACTCAAAATGATGGTAGTGAGCAGTTTGATCCCGAAACAAAAGATAATACATTTCAAAGTGACAATGACGTTGTAGATATAAACAGAGATAATGAAACTAATATAAAAACTGAAATGAGTCTCAGCAGACCGACCTTTTTACTTATTCAAAATGACCATCACACTAAAATTACCGATGCCCATTTATCAGATGGTAAAGATGAGATAAATATATATGAATACGATACTGAAAAATTAACAAACGATGTAGATACTACAATAAAACAACTTAGTACTGAGCTAAGAAAAATAATTCCGAAATTAGATGAAATGCGAGAAAGAGATAAATTATGGCTTATTAATGACACTAATACTACAATAGATATGACTGATGATAATTCCAACAGATTAGCATCAACATCAAACTGTTCTGTTTCCGTTAGTTGTCAAGAGGATAAAATAGATCTTGCTAAAAATTCTACAACTACACATCCAGAATGTGTGAGAAAATTTTCTAGGCAAAAAAAGTAAGTCTGATTTGGAAGAATTGTTAATAAATAAAGGTCTTACATCTTATTTTTAATTGCTCATAAAATTAAATTTACATTTTCATTCAATCTTTAAAAAAGTTCAAAGAACTTGCCACCTTCATAGTACGAAGACGTTTAAAATAGATTTATACGTCTCTTGTTTAACTCTGCTAAATTGGAAAAGAACTTGCTCTGTAGGAGCGTTGTATAATAATGTGTTCATTCAAATTAGCCAGTTACTTGCAATGTAGTAAAACCGAGTATAACGAGACCTATTACTCATTTAGTAAGGCGTGGCATGGTTTGCCTCTCAAATGAAAAGTTAGTAAAAAAGTGCAAAATAACTAAACATGCATTCTAACTTTAGTGAATCAAGAACATCAAAAAACCGACATAAAGACATGGTGTCCCCAAGGGATAATATACGCTCCGCTCAGAACACATCCGTCCATAAAGTCAGTGCAAAAGAGAGCGATTTAGGTAAGAAAATATTTTTAATGTTTTATGTAACATAAAGCTATTTTACTTTAATTAAATAAAGAAAGAAAAATTTTTATGAGGAATCATTTTTTTTCTATTTACATATGGATACGACTGTGGAATGTAAATTAATTAATATTCAATTTCACTGTTTGGTATTACGTGATTAAAAAATATAACTAAACAAATGGTAAGCCATTTTATCGTCAAGGTGCAACTCCCGACGAAATGAGAATAAAGAAATCGAACTCTTTCCACATTGTCTGGAGACAAGGTGATTCTTAATGCTTAGAATCCTAACGTATTTATGTGTTTCATGCTTACAGGGAAGTATCATAATATACGATTTTGATACTTGGTTACTAAATTAAACATCTAATATTTATTCGTACCGTTGCATCTGTTTGATCTTATCACAACATTGTTATCCTTATAATATAAAATCAGAAAAAAAAATTAGCTCTACTTCTAATTCTCTTACCTTATTAAAAAGAACAAGAGAGTAAAATTTCAAGATTGGGTTGTTGATGAAATCTATCCTATTACGGTCCCTTCCGTTTAAATTAGTGTACAACATCAGCTAATAAATAAATTATTGGAATATTATTAGCGATGGAAAGAATAATGAGATTCTTTAATGAGTTCATTTTTATAAAATTTCTATTTCAAGGACTTGCATGGACTTTATTTCACAAAATATCCGATTGCCACATGACATTTTAAAATTAATTTCAGACTGCTTCGACGTGTATAATATAGAGACTGCGTTACCTAAATTAGATCTGGATGCTATAGAAAATCACTTGAGAGCAGCGAAAGAAGCAGAAAGGAGGGTGAGTGAAATTCTAAGTTATTAATGATAACCCAGCAAATGTTGTCCAATAACCGGTTATCAAGAGCAGTTTTAGTTCTCCCAGTTTTTTTCTCCACTTAGGAAAATTGTGAAATTCTGAATAGGGAATAAGTATTTCAATAAGCCTCATATTAAATCCATCTCTCCGTACGCGGTGTACTTTACTTTTTCTTTAGATAGGTAGGATATAGATTTTATTTTCCTTTAATAAGAAATACAACTTTTGTAGGTTAATTAATTTTAAAGTAAAGTAAACTGTAGTCTGTAAGTATTTAACTACGTACCGAATATCTGTAATTGGTGCGATTTTTTGTTGTTTTTGCTCATAGCTTCGCCTATCCGCACTAGTAGCTTGGTTATCTACTAGTAGCTGTAGATAACCAAGCTTTGTAATATATTTGTGGTGGAAGTCGTTCGAAAAAAAGTCAAGTATAAATTACAATAATCACCAATTTCAAAAGTAATACAATTTTGTAAGATATTTAACAAGATACTACCTTATACCTGAGTAGGTAATATTGTAATTATTAAAGCAATGGTGAATAATTATAACTAAAAGTCGTGCGATTGGTCGTAAGGTGTACATACCTATCTACCCACCTATCTTATTTACCATAAGAATATGTAATAATCAACTTTTACAGTTATATCTATACTAATATCATAAAGCTGCAGAGTTTGTTTGTTTGTTTGAACGCGCTAATCTCAAGAACTACTGGTTCGAATTAAAATATTTTTTTTGTCTTGAATAGACCATTTATCGAGGAAGGAATTTAGGCTGCAATATAACATCACGCTGCAAGTATTAGGAGCGAAGAAATAATGGAAAACGCGGACGAAGTTGCAAGCGGCCACTAGTTTTTTATGATATTAACTTCACTTAAGTAGTAGTAGTTAGTATAGTATTAACTAGCAGTTATAAGTAATTCTGAAAATTATGTGATACCTACCTAGGTAGGTATCAGATTATTAAAGTAAATAAAATTTATTGATCAAAGTTGATTATTACATACCAAAGGTTTGAATTTCCGCGCTACAAATATAACGGTACATTCGCTTTAGACCCACGTTCGCAGCAACCATGTGTAACAGTTCATAATTACCAATAAGTAGTGGGACCAGCTTTCTAAGGTGATTCAGCCGCGTAGCACGACTAGACTGCCAGTCTCCGAGTATCAGTAATTTTGTAAACGTGCGCGGACGTGACTTGATATTTCGTGTTACGTTTCTTTACAATTTGTGTTTTTTATTGTGTTTTGAGTGATGGCGTCAATGCCATATTTTAATCCTGAACAAAGACATTATAAAAAGGATACAAGATTTCTTTTAGATTTATACACAATAACATACGATAATCATGAATCCGTCGATAATATTTGTTGTCTTGTAAGTTTTTATTTTATTAGAATTTTTAAATGCTCATTCGTAGACAGGTTTACTAAAAATGGAACACAAACTTAACCTTGGCCTATATGTCAGTTTGACAGGATACAGGATTTATTTGACAGTTCATTTTTGTTTACGCCATAACGTTAACCTTTAGCTTTATTCAAGTTACCTTAGTAATATAACACACTTGCTACAGTTGTGCCATAATCATTGCCAAAAATTAGAAGACTGATTAGTTTTAAGATGTTGGGAAATTTTGTTACCAATATCAAGAGAAGATTTAGCAAAACGTCAGATGACATTGTCATCTGTAAACAATCCGATAGATCAGGGTTGAAAATCAATTTACACTTGTTAAAGACAAAATCTTCAAAATCTGAAGCAAATACATTGGCTGTGAATAATACCAATGAAAATCAAGATATTGCTTTAAGTCCTAGAGCTATAGGCACAGCAGAGTGTGCTGAAACAGAAATTGAATGGCCAGTGATCATAGATAATAATCCTAATATTTTAGAAAAATTTACTCGAATTGTTACTTTAACTGATAGTGTCCATGATAATATTGTAAGATTTGTTTTTTTTTTAAATATTAGTTTTTAAACATATGTTTTAATTATTTTGTCATCTTATTATGTTCTGCTGTTTTCAGAAACGTAATGATAGGGAAGAAATAAGAAGACGATTGGCAATGGGGGCTGATAATGACGAATATTACAGTATGGGACATACAGAACGTCCTGGGAAGAAGCCTAGTTTACATTCCCGATTACAGAACGGTGAGTATTTTAAAGTATTGATAGAATTGGGTGAATGTACTTGTAGTTAAGTAGTTCTATTTATTTCTATTTTCATTTTGTTTGGTTTTGTGGTTTTTCATCAACATGATAGTAACTTTTTGTATAGTATTGATTTGTGATTACTAAGCTATGAGGATTTCATGTTTCATCATCTTTTAAGTGTTTAACATTTATTTTTAACTCTTTGGTTATGGCAATTGTAGTCTTATTCTATGGGATTGGGATATTAACCATTGTTGTGTTGTGCTATGGTGTGCAGGTATGAATCTCCAAATTTGTTTCATGAATGAAACAGCTTCAGATAATGAATCTCAAGCATCAGACATAGAAAGAAATTTGAACTATAATAATAGAAGTTCATCACGGTCAAGTGTTTTCAGCAAATCTAGTTATAATCATCCTTATCAGACAAGGCCATTGTCTGTAAATATTACTAAACAGGACAAAATAAACACTATTCAAAATGGTAAGTCCATCATAATTTGCCAATAAAGTGTATGCTTTAATTAATTTAATTTCAAGCATACTAATTAACAAGAACTTTATTTTAAAACTGGCAAGTTATGGTCATAACTAATAACTTTGTAACTATCTAGTTTATGTTGTAATAAGTATTAGATAACAGTATTGACCATTTTGTGTGATTGACTAATACTAATCATAAGGTTAAAGTTGATTTTGTGTTCTAGTTTTTCTAGTACTTAGTCACCCTAAATCTGAAATAGGTAACTAATATCTAAATAAGTGCACTTCTCAATTTTAACTAACAATATTTTGGAATTTATTGCTTACCTATTAATATATAACATTTGCAATTATAAAAATTTGCATTAAAATATTTTGGTGATTTTTATCTGGAAAGAAATTTTCATTTATTGTACAATTTCTAGGTGCTAAACTGCGTCCAACATCATTATCTATAAAATCAAAGTCTCGATCATCACATTCATTGGGACACATTGAGCTGAAAGAATCTGACTTCTATGCTCTCCAGGCAACACTGCAGACTGAAGCTAGAATTGCTCTGGCACAAGCAAAGGAGATGGCTCGAATACAGATGGAGGTCAGTTTGAATATATATTGTTACACTTTTCAAAGTAAACTAAAAAACATCTTATTATTTAATTTGGCTTTGTTTCAATGTGATTTCTCTGTCAGATGCAATTAATGAAATTATATTCCAGTACATTATAAGTTTACTTCTGTTATCTGAGTATTTGCAAAAACTAAGTTGCATTGTCATTTGTCATATAATCATATGACAACTGATGGAAATTAAATGTAAAATATACTCATTTCACCTCCCATAATTAGATAACATTGTAAACAAGAAGATTTGACCAAATAGTTTAAGTTATGCTTAATAATTAAAAAAAAATATTATCTTTTAAGTTTTCATTGTATGTACTGTAATCTTTTGTTTTATTTTGTGCCCTGTGTAAAGTACACCATATTAGTTGAGTATTTAACTATGGTTAGGAATATATTTGTGTTATAATTGCACACTAAGGACCACTTATGCAATTGTTTAGAAGAAAGACACGAATCGCCTTTTAGAAAGCAATCAAAAAATGTAGAGGACAACACAGTTATTTATCTGTGGTCCTCCTGCATCTTGTGATTGGTTTTTAAAACTTTAAAAGCATGGGACCATCAAAACAACATTTTTTAAATTGCTAAACAAAAAATACACCTAAGACCAAGATAAATTTAATAATCAATACTGTATAAATATAATGCAAAGTTATACAATGGTAAAAAATATTGTATTTATAATTTTTTATATTGGTTTCAGCGGGAACGCCGCAGCCGGCCCGTTTCTCCAGTGACAGAGATGTTACGGCGTAGTATGGAAAAGGCTAATGTACCTCTAGCGCCAGACCGCCGTCGGGTGTCACGACAACTCCTCACAGACATGAACATCGCGCAGCTACAGGTGAATGATGCGACTATTACATTATATATATATTAAGGGATAAAGCTTATTATAGATTTAGCAATTCTGCACGGGATATTAAGGAATCTCACACATATACATCCTATTAATATTATAAATGTGAAAGTTTTTTTTGTTTGGATGTTTGTCCGTCAATCACGCCGTAACTACTGAACGGATTTTGCTGAAAATTGAAGGTATTTTGCTGATTTAGATAATAGGATACTTTCTATCCCACCTAATACTTCCTTAGGGAGCATGCAGGTGAAGCCACTGGCGGAAATTCGGTTTCTAACAATTGCCAATGTAAAATAACAATTTAATTATAGTAGTAATGTACAAATGTGTCCCAAAGAGTATAACGGGATCCCTATTACTAAGACTTCGTTGTCTGTCTGTCTTCACCAGGCTTTATCTCATGAACCGAGAAAATTAGTTGAAATTTTCACTTATGATGTATTTCTGTTGCCGCTTCAACAACAAATACTAAAAACAAGAATAAAACAAATATGTACGAAAATCTACGTGCGCCATTCCGATTTGCACTTGGCCGGGTTTTTAAACTTGCAGGAATTGAGATATTATTTTTTGGAATTGTAGTATATATTTAATTTATTAAATAAAAATAAATCACATATAGAATAACTTAATAATCTGGATAGAAATGTAGGTCTGTTTTCTTCTTCTTCTATTCTTTTATGCGGTCAATAATTATTTACACACGCTTAATTTTTAGGACACAAACATGTCTCCCAAAAATTTTGACAAATATTTTTATTTTATTTTTTTACTTTTTTACATGTTTGTTAAGGGTTAGTGACAGAAAAGATCAGTATTTTTGTATGTTTCTATATTAACATTGTCAATTTTGTTTGGATTGATAGACCGTGCTGGAATTTCAATGAGATTTCGGCTGTCATCTTAAATAAAAACAAAAAAATATATAAACATTAAGCGTTTCTTAATGCGTTGTTTTCGAGTGACCTTGTTAGCGCTGATTCATGCGTGAAGACCATTATACACAATGGATATATTCTTAAATAACAATACCTATTGTATATAATGCTGTTTTTACTTTTCGACGACGGCATTAACGGACCGTTGCTTTCAACAACGTTAACAGAGACTTAGACAGTTTTGACAGATCATTTGACATAATTTGCAGTGAAATGGTAGGACAATAACACAACCTCGGGACACTATAGAAAATTTTATTTTCGGCATTGACTCATCAAAACTTCAAGCTTTACGGACTCATCTGAAGACGATCCTTAGAACTCAAAATTAAAAAAAAAACACGAAGAAAGAAAGAAAATCAAAGAGCAAAATAAAAAGAAATATTTTTTAATATCGCAAAAGATTTCGAAGTATCTTAGTATGTAGTTCTAGTTACTAGGCTAGGTAATGATATAAAAAATTAAGTTTTTGTTATTAATTACTGACCATATAAATTTGCATTTCCCCATCTGATAAAATATGATGCGCACAGAATACATTAGTTCCATATGGTTTTCTCTTTATCTCGATGTATGCTTGACCTATTCTCTAATTTCGTTGTAATGAGATTATTTTCGTTTACATTAAACGCTTACGTTGAGACTTTCGCTTCATTATACTACTAAGATAAATAATTTCTCAAAATCTTCAAATTTTATGTAAAATGAATATTTAAAGACGTTTTTGGCCGTATACCCGTAACAATAGAGCTATGTTGATAGATAATGGACCATGTTAACTCAGTAAAATCTATTTAATGGGGTATCTGTTTAATATGCTAAATATTTTTTATTAAATATACAAATTTTCATTGTTTCATATACATATTTCTTATTACAAGGCATATAAGGTTTAATTTTGGTGAAATAAAATGTTAATAATACACACTTCATGCAGCCCGCGTAGCATAACGAACTCGAGAGATTCGAGAAACGGGACGATAGTGACTTACACCCGGTTTCTGAATTGAGAATTTAAAGTTAAGCAAGTCTCACACCGTATTTAAACCCTTTTTTTTTAAGGTCACTTGAGGTTTCTAATTTTAATTTATCAGTTGATAGCAGTCTGCTTAAACTAGAACTTTGTGTTACATGAAACATAAAAAACTTAAGTTATTGAGATTTTCAATTGGAAACCGGCCGTTAGTATTGAGCTACATTTGCTGGATCGAGTTAGTATTCTGTCGCTCAGAACCGTTATTTGCTACAGCGAGAAAAATAGCGGGTGTGTGATAGCACGCATGGAATTTGGAGGCGATAAGCTCTAGCAAAAGGTGGTTCTGAGCAACAGAAAAAACCGATAAAGTTTATTGTATGCATATATCTCACTAGATCCATTTCTCGAGTCTCTCGAGTTCGTCATGCTACGCGTGCACTGATAAGTCTTATATTAATTAGTGAAAATGCCTAGTCGTATTTAAATAGGCAATTTGAATTTCTTTCTTGTATCAGGTGATAGTGAACGAGTTGCACTCGCAGATCGAGTCGTTGAACGATTCGTTGGTTAAACTGTTAATGGCGCGCGACGAACTACACATGGGACAGGATTCCATGCTCGTCGACATCGAGGATCTTACACGTTACCTGTGAGTCATCACTGTTATTTTACCCATAAACAGAGGTAGCCAGATTAGTGTCACTTTTGCTAATGTCACTTCAGCCCCGCGATTCTGTAAAAATCTAAACCCGAATTCGAATTCACTCAGATTCACTTCACTTCAAATAGCGGCATCCGTTTAACCTTGAATTGGTAATAATTTTTCGTGGCATAAGTGAAATGAGTGTCGAAATTACATAGAAATAGAATATCTGAGACACGTATATTCAATCAATTTTGTTTTGTATTCGGACACACAAGTGAATTCGTATTCGGGCCTGGATTTTACAGAAACACTCGAGAAATATTCATAATCTTAATGTTATGTCAAGTATTGTCTTCATGCAGCCCGTTTCGTTTCGTTTCTCTTCAAGTTTCTTTATTTTTTTGCGGGTATTTCCATTATTTCTATCGCGCTATTAGTTTTTTAGATTAGATACGATTGGACCTTTGCTCTTTATTTTGTGTCGCTTTGTTTTATTTATTTTTTTCATTTTATGCGAATAGAGATGAGTAGTTAAAAATTTCAGAATAGCAGCTTTTTAGGAATCAATTAATTAACGCTATTGGTGTTATGAGATACAAATCTTTAAATTTATTAAATGTATATAAAAATACGGTCCCGTAATAATGTTGCTCTTGATTTTATAATAAAGAAGTCACTATTGTGGGAGTAAACAAGAAAAGAAAATAAACGAAGCGGTTAACGAAGATGGCGCCGACGGAGAGTGGTCGGTTCGTTAAATGAATATTCATTGTATGCAATATCAGTCTTGTAGTCAAGGTGTTGTCTTGTAGTTAGATATTACTCCCTTATTTCATATTTATTACTTTGCTGTACATAAGTTGTGTATAATGGACAATATGATATTTGCATAATACTTCTGTAGGTGAAACCCAATGATAAAATTTTCACCAGCTCTATCAGATTATTTTAGACTAGATAATGTTAAAGTAAATGGGTATACGTTTCTACTTAGTTAAAGTTATTTATAAAACACAAACAACCCCGCGGTATTAGAACATATTTTCATGTTATGATTGTGCCGTCGTTTCATTAATACACCTATATCTTAATAATTATGAACAACATTACTGTTGCGCGCTGTAAGTAGTATTAGGTGTTGCGGCATTTTTTAGAATTACCCAAAGGGTAAAATGGGACCTTATCATTAAGACTCCGTTGTCTATCTATATGTCATTCTGGCTGTCTGTCCATCAGCACTAGGCTGTATCCCATAGTTAGACCGTTGAAATTTTGATAGATGATGTTTTTCTGTTGCCGCTATAGCAATAAATACAACAGAGTAAAATAAATATTTAAGGAGGCTCCCTTACAACAAACATTTTAATAAGAGTAACGAATGATGTATAACAAAAGGTGAAAAAATGCGATTCCGAATAAGCATTCATTTCTTTATATTATTGTAGATACTAAAACAATCTAACTTTGCGGACGTCTGTATCTTACGCAATGCTTTAAATCAGAGGTTCCCAAACAATTTTTTCTCGTAGATTACTTTAAAAAAAATTACTTTCGGTGGACTGCTGCTACATTTTCACCATATTCCCAAAATTTGTCAAAAATGTAAAGATTGTAACTTACAACTTACAACCCGTTGAATCCCTTGTAGACCCGTGGGGGTCCACCTGGACCACTTAGGGAATCACTGCCTTAAATCATCATAAATAAAAAATTGATGGCGCCTTATAATGTTGAATATCTAAACCTACGAGGTGATATATATTTCTAAATATGTAGTTCTTTTTCACTTTTCAAAGATCCGTATATGCATACTATAAATCTATAGTTTTAATTCTAATTTAGTTTTAGTATCAGCATAATTATATCTTTTTAAATGAGGTGTTAAGGAGTCGTGCGACAAAATATCTTTCTTTTTAATATGAATATATTATTTTCAGAGGCGTTAAAGAGCAATCAAAGAAGACCAAAGGCACTACAAAATCAGGAGTGAGAAGGTTCACCTCGTTGGTGCACAAATAAGTGCGCAATGGTAAACTTATTAATGCAAATTATTTAAATATTAGCAAAATACAGTGTAGAGTGATTGTTATTAAGAATACTACAAATGATGCGATGAAAGACAATGTTCCATAGACATAAAACCCTTTAGAAGTATTTCAATGAAATGAACTTTTAATCAATCTCTAATATTAACTAAATATAGCGTATGAATATACGTATAAATTTTTTGAATATAATGTAAATGTCATCTCTTCTCGTTTCTTTTAATATGGAATATTAATGTTTAGTTTTTCCTCAGTTTTAAAATTATGTTGTTTCTAATGAATTAAAAATTATGCTCTATGGTCTATTTTAATGCAGTCGTTGACGACAATATTTCGTATATAGTATCGCCATCAAGTGATATTTATTTAATTGGTTTCTTTTTTTACATGTACTTGTTAATTAACAATTACATCATTACTCAGCCATCTTCTTAAATTTAGAGAAAACCTCACAAGAGTCCATGTCATCTTTGTTACAGTAACATCTTTGCCTTTGTTTAAAGGATTATTACCACAATGAAAAACTTATACTAAAATGATCAGTATCACTTCAGTAATATAAAATAGTCATTTATATGATATTTAATTGAAAAACGAACCTGACGGACTCATCTGTTTTTAATCATTGAAGTCGAAGGGCTTATTGTCTTTCTTCGCACTGATCTTGAGGTGAATTTCGCTGCTACACTTGTTAAAGTTCTAAAGTACACAAAAAGCGGCAAATATGTGTAAAATATATTTAATATTGTACCAGTAGAAGATGTTTCAGTTGTATACTCTTTTTAAACTTAAAACAAAACTCAAACATTAACCAGTACGCAGAGATAAGCAGAGTACAATTTTATTGACAATTTACAATGACTGGCAATTGATTACATATTGTAATCATAACTTTATGTATGATGGTCGAATTAATGAACGATTAAAATAGGGATGATGACTGGGTAAAAAAAATGCAATTCTATTAAGTCTGTCAGTCAGATAATAGAAAAATATTAGATACGTATTTTTTTTTTACTTCAATTTAACAAGAAATAGCTTAGATAACAGGCATTAAAGTTGAGGAGTGGGGGCTCGCTACGTCACAGTTGAGTAGAAAACGTACCCTAACGTGAAGTCATGCGAAATTTCAACTCCATGTAACGCCGTAATTTTATGATTACGAAAAAAATAAATAAATACGTGTTTAATTTTTTTTTAACACTACCTGACGGACAAACAAACAAAAATAAGTCATCATCCCTATTCGATTACAACATGTTATCTCCAATCCTGAGTGAATATTACTAAATGTATCGTTTATTGTGATTATTCCAATAATCTCTAAGACTAAGAAAATTTGCATTTTATAATATAAATTGAAAATTGTCTTTACATATAGTTTTTTCTTCTATTAAATATATCTATTTATAGTCAATGATTACATGTTGTAATAGTAACCATTGATCATTTATTAATTAATCAGATCAGGATAAGGCATTCTTAAAAGTAATTACTGGAGTTTAAGTATTATATAATCTTATTGTACTTTGTAAATCTCTAGCCGAAGGTAATATAAAATTATATATAAGTATTTAGACAATGAAATATAAGTCTTCATGCCTTATAATTGTCATAGACACGGCACGATGCATCAACTATGCGTAAAATAGTGCATTGTATAGATATTTTTAATCTTTCACCGAGACTTACAGAAATGATATTCGTGCAGATACGTTGCAACTAAAATAAGTTTTTGAATATAATCTAAACATAAGATTTCTCCTATACTTCGTAATATTAATATAATTCCGTCACAATTCTCTGTCTGTATATTTATAAAAAGAATATAATGTACCAAACATCTATATATTACATTGTATACATAACTATTGGAAAATATATTCACATATATAATGTCCGCTTTAAATAGTTTAGCCCACCTAGATATAATAAACATTTTATGATTATTCGCAGATTAGAAAACAAAAAAATATTTTTTCAAACTAGTGCTCATTGTTATGTATATTATAGTGAAGTGTGTACAACATTTGTCAAGTAAAATATGATGTCGTCGGTATGATTTTAAAATGCAGAAAATCATTGTTGAGTATTCGGTAATGAAGTAAATATGTGTAAATTACAATAAATATGTGTAAATTGTGAAAGTCGGCGATAAATAGTCGAAGAAAAAAAAATGTGACTATTTTATATTTATGAGTATGGCAATAAAAACGAGATACTTCAGTCATTCTATTTCTTAGATTCCTTATTATTTATAAATTGCACGGTATGTAAATTGAGCCTAATTTGACATATTTACGTAAAAAAATGACTATCATTATCATTGTATTTAAACGTGCGTTCGACAACTCTTGATTTCATATTGTGTACATAAAACTTCCTTATTTTACTTAACAAACGTTAACACGAAACAAATGATGTGTCTACTCTTTGAATATAAATTAGAATTGTACGAATTATTACTGTCGTCACACTAAATCAGTGTTCAATCAGTCAGGAAGGAAATATTTTTAATTATTAAATGTATCAGAATATGCGATACGATATACTAATTGGAAAATATATAACATTATTATTCAAAGCGATTTCTATAAGTTCTTGAAAGTGCAGTAGACGAAGTGGGATGGTGCTATACACTAAACAGCGGTGTCTTATGTTTCTACATTATAACGTTTGCGTCGCAATAAGAGCAGGGCCGAATTAGGCACGTAGCAAAAATAGCAAATGCTACGGGCCCCGCACATTTGGGAACCTCGATATGGTTCACAGCCAATAAATTATTTTTTCAAGTCAATGTTAAAAAATGCATGAAATAAAATATAAAACCTAACTATGGTTCACAGCCATTTAATTATTTTTTTCAAGTCAATGTTAAAAAATGTATGAAATAAAATATAAAATTTCTGACTAAACCTTCACATATTTTAAAGTATAAACATAAATTGACAAATATAACTCAAGTCACAGATTAATTGGATTGTTATTCGAAAAGAAAAGGGCGACTTTTCTGTTACAGGGGGTCTTTAAAATTGTTTGTTACGGGCCTCGCTCTGTCTCAATTCGGCCCTGAATAAGCGTCCGCACTACGCAGCATACGATTCAATTCCAGACTTCATGAAGTCGTTACTATACCTTTAATATCCATGAATATTTCCTATCAAGTATTTATAAGTGTGACAGAGTGACTGACATAATCGATCTTAGTCTTCTCATCCGAGTTTAAAAAAATAAGCACTGAAGGAATGCGTTTACTATAAAAACTATCATATCGCATCCATACCAGTCAAACCTGTTAATTGAGAATTTTAACAAAAAAAAAAGGATTTTACCAGTAGATGCTGCTTGAAATTTGATGCTTGAAAATGACAGTTGACAGGTTTTACTAGCATAGATATGTGATGACGTCACAAGTTTCGTATAATTCTTTTTTTCTGTTTACCGAGTAGATATCTGTAGTATATTAACTTTATAATAAGTAGGCATGTAGTGATGCACATGCCCCAGCAGAGCGACCGCCTAACTCCCTAGCTATCTATGACTCTAGCCATGGGAATACGACATCTTAGCAATGTTATAGTAATTTACAAGAACTAATTATAAAGAATTATGAATATGAATTTGACAATATTGTTCCAAACTAAGTCATTCCATTCATATTTTGTTAATGATATTGACTTCTTAAAGCACCATAGACTATCCAATTTTTAAATTCTATGTCATATTAAGGTTGCCATAAACCCGCCAATCATTTACTTATCGAATCTTTCATTCATCCTAAATTTATCCACCAAAAGGTATGGCAAATATCGTCCTAACATTCGCTGAGATGTTTCCTATGGCTAGGCGATCGCACCCCTTATAGTGTCATTTGAAGCATTGAAATAAAAGTATTAAAGCCTTTTTTATTTCGTTTAGCTATAATTGAAATTGAACATAAGTTTTCTTATTTAAACTACTTTTTAAAAATGTTTTATAGGTTATTAGCTTTTACATCCAAGAGGCTCGTTTACAATGAATGTAGCTCACTAAACTGAAGTTGAAATAAAAATATTGAGACTATGTTCTTACAGAATATGTGACGAGTAGGAATGACAGTTGCCCACAGCAGATTCATCTTTACTTTTTCTTTTTAAACATTCCTAAATATCGTGTAAATACAAACGTATTTTTGATGAAATATGCTTAAAAACCACCAGCCCAAGCCAAGGTGGTATTGAAACCCATAAAATCGCAATTCGAGTGACTGCTTCAAACATTGAAGTACCCGAGACCTAATTTCCTGAACATTAATGAAAATACGCGCATAAATATTCTTCAGTCCTGTTGGGTCCCGGGTAGATCAATTTTTAGAATAATCGCTCGGATTATGAAGACCCCGGATTGGGTCGAATCTCATCTCTGGTTGCCCGTGCTAGTGGATTTTTTAAGCATTTTTATAAAAATATGTTTATCGGTATAATATTGTGAATGCTAAATGGATCGAATATTATAATTACAAATATAATATTAAAAGGGGATCAGCATATAGTATTATATTTTTATGAGTTACAACTATATGTAGTTGCCACAGGTTTTGCGCAAGAGTTTATACCCTACAGTAGAACCTTAGATTATACCTATCATATGCTTACAGAAATACTACCTTCATATTATTATAGACTAGTAATTCTAATCGTAAAATTAAACAAGATTATTCCAGTGAAGTCTTAAAATATGCGGCTGCCTTCACATTTAAGGAGTGAACTCAGTAAAATCCAAAAGGCCACATAAAACTGCTACACAAGGACGAAGACGAAACCTTTAAGCACAGCATATGGTCACCGTTTGATTTTTTAAACTGATACTTCGTGAAATTCTTTAAATTTCATGGTTAGAATTACTATACAAAAAATGATTAGCAATAAATAAGAAACTCGTGTAAAAACAAAACATCTATTAACCTTTATCGCGGCATTATCTATTTGTATTAATGGTTAAGCTTTTCTACTATTAAGGAAAGATTTTCCTGAATTATTTATATATACTTTATATACAAAATAGATCTTCTTGTCAACCTATCATCATCGTTTCTATATAAATAATGTACTTATAATTTCCAGTACACACGGCTGTACGTCAGACTATACATTGTTGACTTTATACCGACCGCGCTTCGTATAGAACTGCCCTTTTAACAGAGGTCTGCTTACGGTGGTGGTGTGAAGCGTGATGTGCGGCCGTGCATTACATTTAGCACTTTCTTGTCTGTATATATGGATTGTTTAGATCTCTTAATGTCGCAGTTTCGAATTTATTACTTGTATATTACTTTAGTATTGCTAGTGTTGATTTAATTACTTTTATTATTAGATTTAATTTCGATCTCTTTTCCTACGCTGTTATTATTATATATTTTGGAATATCAAAACAGGGTCAAAATTGGTATTATAGTTTTTCTTATCTCTTATTATTTATTTGCTATTTCGGCGTTCATAAATAAAATGCAGTTTAATTGCCCTGAGTTGCGACTCAATCAAGATTCGAGGCGCATTAAAAAAAAATAATTTCCATTTATATTAGTAAGAAGTTAATTAATCTATATTTAACGGCGATAAAATGTAACAATTTATTCATAAACATGTAAAAGGCGGCTTGCGTTTGCTTTTGTTTTTCAGTTATATTTTACAATCCTATTATGTACTCGGACTGAGCTGATTGCATCACGACATTTATGCGTGCAGATAATCCTTAGTAAGGGATTTAATTATTATTTGAACTTTTGAATGCTATTAAAATTTGATTTACTTTTATCGGCAGTAATCATTCGCAACGTATTTTGCATTCAAGACTCAAGTAGATATCTATACAGGGAAATATTGTTTTCAGTGCATAAATTTATTCGAATGATTTAGGGCTATTAATAAATGATATTTACGAGGAAAAACTTTTTTTTAATTTATTTATATATAACATAAAGCAGTCGTCTCCGTGTACGGTAGGAAAAAGTATTTTAAGAAGCAACGTATTTACCGACTGTTTAGGGAGCCTGTTATTATACATTTTTAAGCATATAACATAAAGCAGTCGTCTCCGTGTACGATAGGAAAAAGTATTTTAAGAAACAACGTATTTACCGACTGTTTAGGGTAAAACAGGAGCCTATTACTATACATTTTTAAGGAGTCTCCCATACCACAAAACGTGATACTTTTACGTATTTTTTTGTATAGGTTGTGGTATGGAACCCTTCATGCACATTTAGTCGATATTTATCTTCCATGGTTGCAGATTAAACAAACAAACATAGGTATGTTTCACCGTAAAGAACACAACATTAAATTTGGCGCACTGACTACAATTTTTTCCTGTATAATGTCATTCATGTCCGACGTGTATACAGGAGCAGCTGCGTGTTTCGTTCACAATTTCTGCTTATGCAGTTCGGTAATATTTAATAAGACAGCCTTCCTGACTATCTACGATCGAAAGCTAGCACATTTATAAACATTCGAAGACGAAATGTGGCTGCGTTGACATTATACTTATAAATAACGAGATATCCTTACGTTTTATTTTTGCATTTTGTATTTTATTTGTACTACGCGAGCAAGATTAATAAGTACAGATTAACTATTTAAAGGTGTTAATTAATTTGAAATGTGGTTAAACGGAACTCCTGTCAGCTTTACGTACTTTTTCTTTAACAAAATGTGATTGTAACTGTAATGCTTTGAATAAGGACGAAAATGGAAAGTAATAATCAAGTTTTAATAGATTTCATTGGTAATTTATACCTTCTTTTATAATCTGAACCAAAATTCGTCCTAATTCGTTTCATTGATAAGAGTGAAATGTTCGTATGTCGTTAACCGCAGTTGGCGAACGCTTGGCACGCTTGGCAAATCTTACCGACATTGTGATAAATACTATTGTACTATATTCTAAATAAAGGGGAAAGTGTTTAATAATGCCTTTTAATTTTTTCATCCTAAAAGTGTCCTTCATCAGAAATGAGAAATCATGGCAGATTTGTACAATTTTTAACAGTTTACAAATTGAAAAATTGGAGATTCTATGTTCGACGGGTGGTATCTATTTTTATGATCGAATAACTTATTATTGGCAAAATTACTTATAGTAGGGGAGCCCACGATGCTAAAACGGGATTTACTCGAGCGTCATAGAGACCTATTGGGTTGCGAAGCTAAGATGATAACAAAAAAATAATGTCATATAATATATACCTTTTCATCGGTGGGGGAAGCGGCTATAGATTTTTTAAAAATGTAAAAAAAAACTGTTGTATGGACATACTCGAGCGCGTCAGATATTAATATCATCCATGTCCTACGCATTTTTAAAAACTGTCGTAGGTTAATCTGATCGTTTCCATGATGGGGGTGGTTATACGTAAGGGTTGAAAATGAAAACAAAACTTATTTAATCGAGCGCGTCAGATTTTTTTGAGGGGATGTCAAGTGAACCTAAAAAAAGCTCTCATATAATAATCTGACGATTTGGATGTGACGCAAACGCTTGACCATTATTAGAATGTGCAAAAAAAATCGCCATTTTGAAATACTCAAGCGCGTCAGATTAAGATATATATGGTTCATCTTTATGCCCCAGACGTGATATCTCATAATCTGACGATTTATTTTTTATTTATTTTATTTCACTTCTTCCACAAAATACACAAAATTAATATACGTTCACAGATTTTTTCTAATTTGTTTTAACAATATGTTTGTGGGAGACTGCTGCCCAAGCTAAGCATTTTAACTGCCTGTAATTCAGGCCAGCAGGCTCACCACCTCTTAGAATACAGTTTTACTTCACCATTATCAAAATCCTCGAACGCACAAAACATTATGTCTTAATTAACTTAAAGAAAAACAAACTTATAATACAAAGCGTGCACCATATTAACAGCAGGATCATTTACATGTGTCACAAAAATATTCAATATAAACCCAAACATTAATTATCTGAAGGGATTTACTTAAACTGACACTAAAAAAATTTTTTTTTAATTTTTTCAAATCATTGAGCTTAATTAAATAGAAAAGCACCGGAGTTAGCATGCAAATAAAAAAGTGTATGTTTTTTATGTAAAATACTTATATTTATAAGAAAATGATTATATGAAAATTTAATTTTTACAGTATTTTTTATTAATTATCATCTTCATCGCTAGAATCATCTTCCTCTTCTTCTCTTAAAATAACAAAATAAGCAAAAACGTTGGAAATACGATGTAAACAATATCGACGAACGAGTCTGTGTCATCAGCTGTCATGGCGTCATGGTAACCGAAACCAGAGTGGGGATGGAATGAGAGAGTAATAGACAGAAAAAGAGAGAGAAATAGTGATGCGGAGAAGGAAATATAGGTATCACGTAGCTTAAACGCATTAAATCTTATCGATGAATTTTTATTACTTCGGCTTGTGACAATCGTCAGATTATATATTTTTCGTAATCCTTGAATGATTCCCTTCAAAATAAAAAAAAAATTAGCCACGCTCGAGAATGTCAAAGTGACTTTTTTTTACAACTTTGTAGCCTTCCCCCTTCTTTACGTCACTCTCAAATTGTCAGATTAGAGGTATGTACACCTTTTAGCATGTAACTAGCTCACCTTACCTTAGTCTGACGCGCTCGAGATTTTCAGATGATCAATTTTTTTTTACTAATCTGATCCTTCGTTCTTGCCGGGCGGCCATTTTTATAGGGCTCATACTTGGTCCAGGTACTTAACTGGGTACAAGGTATCCCCCTGTATATTAATCTGCCGCGCTTCAGTAAATCCCGAAATCCCCGCTTCGGCTCCCCTACTATTAGATCATCTATCTGAAAAAACAAAAGAGTATAATTACCTATGAGAGGACGCGATTTTTGAATTCTATCAACATGTTTTTATTAATACACGTTTCGACCCAATCAGTAGATAACTTTCAACGTACAGTCAACTGCACGTCAGGCTAAAAAGGCAAATTTCCTCGCTCTATTTTAAACTTTGACAATATTTTTAATAAACAAGGTTTAGCGTTGGAATAAATTTACGCTGAGACTGCACTTAGTATTAGTCAAAATTCATATTATTAAACAGGGGTAACATTTATTCCTAGATGGTAGTAGGTTTGCATATTCTCTGTATAATTAGAATTTAGACTAATATTAAAATTATAATTTTACCGAAAATTTACTCAGACGCTAAATCTTCTTTATCAATAGCACTGTTATATATTAAGAGTGTGGTCAAAATCCATTGCAGAAATTTACATAATTTTAATAAGATTACGCAGAGTAGACAACTAGTTCCGACGATAACTGAACATACGATTTATATATTTTATTATACATATTTTATTTGGAACTTACTGTACTAATTATTGTATGTTTACTCATTTTCAACACAGCTTATTTGGATTATATTTCTTTGTTCAAAACCAATTGAAAGTTATTTCAGCGCTCTCAAGACTAAAACAGAAAGTAAACCATTGAATGGAAAATAACTTTATGTAAAACAATTTCAATTAAGAAATACTCCTGGTCCCATTGCTTTGCATTCAGCTAAAAGAGAAAAACTGCTGTAGCCGAAAAAAAAATATGTAGATATATATCATTGCTAATCAACAACAAAACAAGTAAAGCTCGAAATATTTTTGTCACATACCTATTAAACGCGACAATGGCGTGATAGTCGTCAATAAATACCATGAACTAATTTAAGAAATACCCCAATGTGGTGCGTGGTTCCCACAGGCGCTCGGCAATAGGCCGCGCGGCTGAAGCCGACTGACCCCAAATTGTTGCGGTCACCTGCGCCCAGGTGCGCTCGCGCAATTAATATCATCCTCTGATAATAGATACACCTCACAAATTATTTGTTTTATTGCTTTTATCGCACTCTTTCGCCGCTCTATCCACTCAAAACTAAGATAAATTGCCTACTTTCCTGCGAATATTTCAAACGTTATTATTGTTTCATTAAGTATATTGGCATACCTTTTTATCTTAATCGATATTGAAGTGCTTTAAATAGGGTGTATTAATTGTGAGAAAAGAGACATTTGCAGTCTTATCTTTATTTATTTATTGCATACTGATGTTCGGGCAAATTGATTTCCTGTGGAAATTAATTAACTCTGATAGCTCGAACATTTCAATTAATTAGATCTTATTGGTAACCTTTCTAATTACTTTTGTTCGTACCTAAGATTTTATAATTATTAATATATGAATTTCTTTATTTTTGAAAGTATCTACCTACTTAGGTATGATCTATTATTGTTTAAAACATTAAATAATATTGATACTTAATTATATGCTTGCAAATAGTATGTATACAACATTAAATCTGTTTATATATAAACTCAACCAGTAAATAAACTCGAAACCTTAATTAATCTAAGACAAGAAATTTTCAATCTACACTTTGCCAGATATGATTTTAAGAATATAAAAATCTTTAGGCAACTAGTAAATAAGTTGTTAAAGGGTTTTTGATCGATGATTTGATGTAGGTAGTTATATGCACTAAAACACAAAGGCTATTAAAATGTCTCGTTTTATTTTTGGAACTTAAAGCGTGGTAAAACGTAGAGTAATGGCTGATACTATCTGCTGGTTGGAGGAGCATGCAAATCACCGCGGCACGGGCCACATGCGGGCGCCGCGTAGGAAACTGGACTACGTTGGAACTGTTCACTGCATGCAACATAACTACAGAAATATACACTGAATAAATATTATTTGGGGTAGCTAAATAAGAGGCGTTCGGAAAAGATATAATTTTAACTAATAATTCCGTCTATTTTATCACATACCAACACTAATATTAACTATTCTTATAAGTAGGTAACTACGTGGATTTGATCATAAATACAAATGTAAAATTTCAATTACATAGTAAGTAGTTGAAGTCTCCAGTGATTCACAATTTCATAGGCGAAGTTGACGTATAAAAACAAAATCTGATAGTACCGCCTATATACTCTATTTTTTCTTTGACCATAGTTTTTTTTATTAATTTATATGTAGGTATTCTTTAAGTATAGTCGACAGTACGTCTAAAAAAGACCAAACTATGGTCGTGATTTCCATATTTGTGGGTTGATCATTCCGGACAGCTGCTCACTAATTGTTCCTCTTCTTGATCGAAGGAAGAGCAACGTGTAAATTGATTTCCAAGGTAGTTCGGATCATGTCCATCTAGATCATTTATTTCAATCTCTTAAATTTCTTTGCGTGTGTTAGTATATTTTAAATGAACACATTTTCTCTTGAATATTTTCAAAACTTAACTGTAGGTTAATGGGATACTTACACTTAGTAATCCTAATCATCCTCGGACTGTAAAGATTTTTGTTCTTGTGGTACATAAATAATATTAACAGATTGTTTATGATACGCACATCTCAAAATGTTTAAATACACGTGTTATATAAATTTAGCCCTGTATACTCTACTTAAAACCATTACATGAGTTCAATGTCAATGATAGGGTCGCTGCCGTGGTTTTCAATACGGGTACGACGCGATTTTATTACAAGTCTGCATTTACATATGTATATAGAGTATATTTTGTACTCGGTAATAGGAAACTAAAGATTGCTGATTAGGCTACCCATATTACGTTTATAGCTTCCTTATTGACTAAACTTTAGGTTCTAAGGTTTCTATTAATACTATTTAGAAACTCAGGATAGTTGTAGCATACAAAATATTTGAGTATTAAAAATACAAATTTTAAACAATTTATGATACATACGTCTATTTGACACTGCCAGGGGAGCGAGCAACGGCAGACCAAAAAGAAGGAATAGATACCAGAAGGTTAAAAAAATGAAAAGGGAAAAATATAAAAAATTGTGTGGGAAAGGAAATAAATAACCTATGCAATTATTATAAAGTACGAAGATTTAGTTACACAACAAAAAGCAGCATGAAAGAATACATACCGTAAGTGG